TGCTGATATACACGTTTAGAGCCCTTCCGCAGTCGTCGCCGACGGGTCCGAGTCTTGTGGCCGTTGGATGCAGCGCCGCTTCTAAGCGAGATGGACACCAGATCTGGAACTAGATGCATGCTAACGCCATTCGGAAATGCATCGCGGTGACTGGCTGGTGCAGTTCATCCCCATCTTGTGCTGTCGAATAGGCAGTGCACCTTTTGCTGAGTATGAGGGTTTTGTATTTTCTTGAGATATCGAAAGGAATAACCTATTACTAGACTTTGTTCATGGCTTGTCGAAATGACTTGCAGCTTGATCAATGCCTGTTACATCACGAGAGTTAACATGCACAACACACTTTTTGCAAAGTGAATTGACATATATATTAAAGTCTCTTGGAAGCGAGGTATTCCATTGCAGATCTACCAAATGTCGCCAACCAAGCCTTACCTAGCAAGAGCAACACAGCAAGCTTACGCACTGTTGCAAAGCATACTAGGCAGGCAATAAAAGCTGAGGGGTTGCTCGAAGTGGTGTTTGCATGAGAACACGGAGACTGAGTGAGATAGATCTGGGTGTTGGCACCGATTGCTTCGTAGTTAGGGGGTGGGAGTAAGGTACCGGCTTTGGTTATCTTCTTGCCTGTGTTGGGGTCGACTACCCAAGCATCACGAACCCACGACCAACCAGTGCGGCTCGGTCCGCAAAGGGGAGCGAAGCTAAATGTTTCAAGAATGCGATTGATCGAGCTGAACAGCAAGCTTACGTTGGCGCTATAGACAGTTTACGTCTCCGTCATATTCAACACCAGATCCTCTCTAAACGTTCCCTAAACAAATCACAGCATCGGAATACACAACCAAGCGAGACAGGAAAGACTCCCTAATACCTCTCCAAAAAGACTAATTTCACATACTAATGCCAATGAGTCAAAGAGTTCAGACTACCTACCACATAGTCGGAGCAAGCGAACAGCCCTGTCTTCAACAGCCAGTCCAATCAAATACCACCACTGACGCCCCCCCGAAATCAACAGTGACAAATGATACCCCTTGCCACTTGTGGAGTCGCACTTGCTACCGAAGGATCCGCCTGATTGGGCGCTTTAGTCTTTCGCGGCTGCTCCGAACCCTTGAACGCCCCTTCACTAGTGCACGACCTTCCATACGCCTCCCTTTTTCTTCGAATATCCCAACCAAGGAGTTTTCAGGTAGATCTAGACTTCGGCATCGTGATGCCTTTTCCACGTGTAGTACGTATTCCCATAAGGCTGAATTGGGACAAGCAGGAGAAGTTTGTTGGTGTTTGCATGATGAATTCTGGTAGGGAGGATATTGCCAGTTTTGTAATAAAAAACCAGGGAGGAACGAAGGTGGATTAGGATTGAATCACTTTCGGGGACCATTTTGACAGGAATGAGACAAGTGAAGCCACATGTGCATCAAATGTTGAATACATCACATTCCTATTTCCTCTTTCTTTTCAACAAGGATAATCACCAGAATTACGTCGAATGTCACCGATCACATTAAACTCACAGATACAGTCAATAGATACTTTTATTTTTGGATGCATGCCGCGGACACCCTTCTTCTTTTCACTCTCAGCGATATTATCATTCACACCCCACTTCAAACAACAGTCACCGTCCCATTCCCCCTCAAATCCAACGAACTAGACCCCACATGGACGATGAAATCCCCCTTCTCAACCACATACTTCATCTTCCTATCCCAAAGCCCCCACTTCGATACCTCCAAATCAATAGAAACATCCACTGTCTCCCCTGCCTTGACCAACACTTTCTTGAACCCCTTGAGTTCCTTGTTCGGCACAACAACACTAGCGAACAAGTCCTGAACGTAAACTTGCACAACCTCTTTACCATCGACGGGTGAAGAGTTCGTGACGCTGACAGTCACAGTCACGGTATCGCTCGGGCTCACTTCTGTCTTGGAAAGCTTGACATCGGAGTATGTAAAGTTCGCATACGAGAGACCGTATCCGAATTCGTAAAGCGGCTGCGGGGTATTGAGGACGTATTGGTGGCCAAACTTGAGCGTCCCGTTCGGTAGTATCGCACCGGGATCAGTCGATCGACCAGAGTTCAGGTAGTCGTAGAAGATCGGCAGAGTTCCAACATCATATGGAAATGAAACGGATAGCTTGCCCGAAGGTGTAACGTCACCAAATAGCACATCAGCTAGACCATTTCCACCCTGCTCACCAGGATAAAACATTTGCAAGAGCCCCGCCGCGTTATCTGAGATCCAAGGCTCTGTGACGGGTTTTCCAGAAGAGTACACGACGATTGTGGGTTTTCCGGTTTCGATGATTGCTTGGACGAGAGGACCCATAGCGCCGACGAGATTGAGCGATGCGACATCGACGTGCTCGCCGGTTGTGGCGTTGAGACCTTGCCAGAGTTCTTGCTGGTCGCGCGACCAAGTGCCGACGACGACGACTGCGACATCAGCTGCCTTGGCTGCTGCAACTGCGTCGGGAAATCCGGATTGGTCGTTTGACCAGCGCTCGCAGCCTTGGGCAAAGGTTACGGTGCCATTTGATGCCTTTTGGATTCCTTGCAGAGGCGTGACGTTTGTGGGGTTGTACTGGGAACGGTATACGACGTAGTCGCCAAGGTTTGTAATGTTGGCCATGGGACCGATCACAGCGACATTGGCAGACTTAGAAAGTGGCAGTACGTTGTTCTTGTTCTCTAGCAGGACAATTGAGTCGGCCTCTAATTTCCGTGCAAGTGCAACATGCTCGTCAGTGTGAATGGCAGAGTCTATCTCATCCAGAGGGAGACCTTGGTATGGATGTTCGAAGAGTCCTTGCCGGAACTTGGCGCGCAGTTGACGACTAACTGCCCTGTCGACAATTTCGATATCCAGCTTTCCCTCTTCCACCAGGCGAGGGATGTTTGCGTAATTGTAGGATCCACCACCCATCTCCACGTCATTGCCGTTCGGGAGAGCCATGAGAGTCACAGCTTCGCTGTCAATTGGCTTATCTTTAGTCTTGCATTGACAGAGTTTGAAGGCACAGCAAAGGCGATCCGTAGCTCCGGCGTCTGAAGTCAGCCAGTACTTGTAGCCCCATTCGTCGCGCAAGATTGTCTCTTGAAGATGGCCATCGGCAATTGAAGGTATACCATCGTACGAATGGTATGCTCCCATGATATTCCAAGCGTCAGCGTCAATAATGGCACGGTGGAAAGGTGGAAGCCATGTGGTTCGAAGTTCTCGTTCACCTCCATGGACTGGCCCGGTGTTTAGACCTTGTTCAGGAGCGCTGAAGCCTGCGAAGTGCTTCACAGTAGCGCTTACGTTGAGGCTTTGCACGCCTTTGACATACTCGTAAGCCATCTCTCCGGCCAGAAAGGGGTCCTCGCCATATGTTTCTTCTACTCTTCCAAAACGCAACTCTCGTGCCAAATCGGCGAGTGGTGCGAACAACTGGTTGATACCCAAAGCTAGCGACTCCTTTGCGATAGCCACAGCCATATCGTGGATTAATTCCGGGTCAAACGAGCAAGCTTGACCAATAGGGCTGTTGTAGATAGTCGCATTCCCCACCAGTAAGCCGTGTATAGCCTCAGTCTGAACCAGCGCCGGTATGCCTAGGGTCGTGTTTTGTTTGAGGTATTCCTGGCCGATCTTGATGCCATTGCTGATCCATTCTGCCGGCATGGGATAGCCGACATAAAACTGACCTGCGCGGACCCTAAAGTTCCACTCGAGACCTGTCTGGTTGACGGCATTGGTGGTAGTGTTGATCCAGTTTGAGATATCGCCTTGAATGAGTTGAGCAGTCTTCTCTTCAATTGTCATCCGCGAAAGAAGATCAGAGACCCTGTCCTCGAGGGGAGCAGCAGCGTCCTTGTATACTGCCTGTGCCGTGTCATTTCTTCGGGCAAGACCGTTGGCGCTACTGGGAAGGTATAGAATATACCCAACCAGAAGAGAGGCTGCGCTGTAGAGAGGCGAGCGCATCTTAAATTGAAACACGAGTATAGCTTATCTAGACAATAGGTTATAGACAAGGTACCACGGTTCTTATACGTTCCCACCAGGGTGTGCGGGCCGGTGGGAGGATGTACACGAACTCAATGATGCACTGCGGACAAATGTCCCCCGACATAGTCGCTGTATATTAAGGTACCGGCTCAATGGGTAATGATAGATGCAATGTCATTGGCATTGAAGTCAGTGATGACGTCGCACCTGACTGTGAAGTTTACATGAGCTTGATGAGTGCTAGTTTCTGGGGAAAACTACTAAAAGAAATGTTTTAAGTCCATTAATTGTCCCAAATTTACTAAATCTGGGAGTTGAATTGGATGGTGTGTCAATAATCCGTAAAGAGGGTGACAGGAATAGGGTGTAGCTCCTGGTTTGATTGACGGAAGAACTGGTGGCTGCGCTAGCCGAAGCCGCTCCTCCCCCGCTTCCAAGCCCGAGATCTTCGACCAGCAATGCTCTTTGTTTCTGGGTAACCCCGGATTCCCATACTTCGTAGTACTTGACACTAGAACTATCTCAGGAGATCGTATGCAGTTCCTAAAGATTCACGGGAACTAGGAAGCGGTTCCGAGAGCTCTGCCACAGACTCACAGCTGTACATGGCCGCGGGGAAACGTCTGCAATCCATGCAACCGAGCTACTGAAAGATGAAGGCATTTCTGAGTTGTGATATGAGATGAGAAGACTTAATGGAGTTTCTTCTTATCATAGATACTGTCTTTATTCATAAATTATATGCCATTTGGCAAACCCCAGGAGTTCTTCTCATATCGTTAAGTATCTCATGCACGCATCGTCCATCTCGCTCGTCAACTAAACCTGGAAAACAAAACTCCAACAAACGCCTGCATGGTGCTAGCACCTGGTATAACCATCTCTTCATAACTCTGCCCATAAAAGGATTTCGGCAACATCGTGAGAATATCAAATCTAGGAAACATAAAGTAACCTCTCATAGCACATAACGTCGATATGATATGTGCCGGTTTATACTGCAAGTAGGAACGGAACGAAGAAAGCAACCCACCATACTCTCTCTTTGCCTCTGCTACTCAAACCACCAGGAGCTCCGGCAGCACTTGGTGCAGGTGGTGCAGGTGGGATTTCGGTTTCTGCTGTCGGGCTAGCCGTTGAGGATGTACTCAATGTGGATCCAGCGACGATGGCATTGGATGGCTCTGGTGTAGGCCTTGAGATAGGAGTAGCTGAACCTCTAGAAGCGGAGGGGTTGTACGAAAAAGGTGGCGAGGTAGGGAATTCAATTGTAGACGTCCCAGAAAGTACTGATGATGTTATTGAGCCCGAGGATGTTATTGAGCCCGAGGATGTTATTGAGCCCGAGGATGTAATCGCGACTGAGGATACTGAGACTGAGGATGCAGCTGAGGATGCAACAGCGACTGAAGTCGTTGTAGTAGCCAACGCACTTGAGGCGGAACCTGAAGGTGTCGGAAGAGAAGTGGACAAACCCTGGCTGATGGTAGTACTCGCTGTCGCAGTCCGTGTCGAAATGGCCGGTGGCGTGAGACCGGGTATTAATATAGAGGAAAGGACTGGGAGGTCTATGGTATAGCTGGCTGTCGAAGCTGGCACAACAATGGGTGTGAACGCGACCTGGGAGGAACTGGCTGACCCAAAGGCTGATGACGGAGTATTGGTACCGCTTGGGATGGTCGTAACAGTCAGAGGGCGTACATCCAGAAGGACACGTGAACTAGTAGATACCGACACTGCTGTCGGAGTGGGAAAAGAGCTAGTTGTTGGCGATACACTCGGGTATGGAACGATGCTTGCTGTGGACTGAACCGAAGGATTCGTTGATGTTTCGCATGGCTGTGTTGATGATAGTAGAACAGGTGCTCTTGAGCCAGATGGATATGGAGGTAGGATTACAGCAGATGTAGCTGTGGAGGTCAGTAATCTTGACCCTCATAATAGCAGAACGTATACGGCTGACTTACTTGCATTCATCTCATAGGCCTTCTGCACGACATTACCGAGTACACGCGTCGACATCGCGCTCAGCATCCATACTGAAGGGCTTCTCATAATGAACGAGTGTAGAAATCTGATCGCACGACCTGTCAGGCGCTCCTATTGGCCAGGCGCTGATTTTCACGGTCCAATCTTCACTTCTAAAAAATGCAAATCAGCGAACGGAGAATTTGGGACTTATTTTAGTCGCGACCAAGATTAACTCTGGGGCCCTTTGTATTAATACCAGAAAAGGTCGAGGAAAACTCTATTCCAAGGCCGGAGCAGTTGCGATGAGGCTGGGATCTCGCGCGTACCAGCCACCCACCAAAACCTGCCGCCGGGAAACACGATGTCGCACGCGACTACGTTCATCGTAGCGCAGCGCCTGCACGCCGCCACCGGAGTTGACCCGAAACCCTCCGGTTTATCTATTTGGGCGCAGGGCATGACCGCCAAGGTGTTGTGATGGTGCGGTGAGCGATGTGATGGCATTTGCACGGGCCTTTTCCACGCAAAGGCTACTCAGCAAACATGGCGGCGTGACACGAACACACCACTTTGCACATGTAATGAGACTTGTAAATTACCAAAGCATGTCGCCTACGCACATGTGGGATAGTCACTGAACAGATACACCGCCGGGCGCAGTCATTGAACTCGGCAACTGGCGTCAAGTGTAGGCTTCGCATGTGGATAGCGGGGCCGTGGCAGTGTTCCTTTTGGAAGGGTAACGACAAGGACACGGGGAAAGATCACAATCACGAATCAAGAAAGTTTAGGAGGTCAGAGAAGTGCATTGTTATTTATTAATGTTGCTCGAGCTAATTCAAGCCATGGCAGCTCGGCCTAAAACCTGTAATGTTTTTTGTCAGCCCGTGTCTTGAAGATACATGAACATGAGACAGAAAATCGTAGTTGCAATCAGACAGCAGTTGGATACAAATTTTGGTCGACAGCGAATTCCGATCAGGTCTGTGATTAAATGTTTTTTCATCATTGCATATGCGAAGGAATGGGAACAGGAAACGGTTGGACTTACTCCCTCATTCGACTTTACGACGTTTGAAAAAGGTATCGATGCACCTCTGTGACGCGTCGTAACGTAAACTACCAACACCGCCACGCGTGCGTTTAAGGCCTTGTAGGTGATCCTTGCTGTTGACTCTGAGAATGAACGTAGACCATCCTTGTAGGCCACGCGGCCTAGAGGTTTGCGGGGCACCAATCACCAGCTGTACGGCACCTTCTGCTCTCGATTTTGGTATATGGCCATTGCGAAGATTTTGAGGCGCAGTTGAAGTTCCAGTAATCAACTCTGGAGATGTTGTGATTGGCATCGTAGTTGCCTCCATGATTGACTTGTGGTATTCGGCTTCCGTCCTCGTGAAGTACAACTCAAGATAGCCGGTATTTGACCAGCCACCCAGACGCTCTAGCGATTGTCGTACCGTCCCTTCAATACTATGAGACAGACATACCTTCCGACGCGGAATACGCAACAGTATGCGCTTCCATAGAGTGGAGAGGAAGATGCCGTGCGAAACGATGGCAATAACAGGGGTAAAGTTGCTAGAAGAGTCGTCGAACAGAGGCAAAAGGTATTCCTCGATGAAGGCATCTGCCCGACGTGCCATACTTTCTTTCGATTCGGCGTCCGCGAAACCAGCCGTAGGCGTATTCTCTTGTCGACGATGGTCCTTGCCAGAAGCACTCGTCTCAAATGGACGACTGTTTGATTTCTTTCCCTCCATCGATCCGAAATCTTTCTCCGCCAACACCGGTAGCTGCACAATCTTGGGAGCCGCTCTCACGGTTCCATTGTCGCCTACTGGTGCCAACTGAGCCTCGCGTATCTTGCCAGCTGTTTTCACAGCCCGCTGCAGGTGCGACGAGAACAAGTGGGTGAAAGTCAGCCCGGAGGACTGGAGGTATAGGCCTAAACGGATGGCCTGTTGGTAGCCATGATTGGTGAGGGCCGAATCCCTACTGCCTGCACTGGAACAGTCAGCATGAAGAGGACGAGTTGATGATGTGCTTACTATACTTGGGCAATGTTGTCAACCGTCTCTCCGTGGCGGATCAGAAATAGGCGTATTGATCGCGCCATGTTGCCCTCCATGGGCGACGGGGCGCATTGTTGAGCTTCATGGCGGGATGTAAGCGAAGTGTATCAAGGAGCTGGCGGACACACTGCCGCTGGTTTCTTTGTACGTGGTCTGTGTTAGCGCCATGCTGACTAGCCACATTTCAGGAAGGGCACCATCGCCAAACAGTGTACTGGGAAAGCTCAATAGAAATACTCAAGTAACATGATAAATTCAGAAAATATCAGCGGATGGCATCTAATGCCTTCTCTCTAAAAGTGACAGCTTCAAGCATGCACCAGAAAAAAAAGCATTGTTCTTACCATTGCCAACCTTGCTACGGCGACTACGTTAGTACGAAAGACAGTATAGTCCAACCACTAAGGTCTGTGATACAATACTTATCTGCCAATTACGAATTTTGGTTGATTAAAATCCAAAGACAATGCCGAAGGTAAACATGACCCATGATAGTTGACATCACTTGTTCATTGGAAACCCCATAGCCGGAGACTGGTCTGGTCCATTCCCCTCACCTGGGTTTGCAAGATAGTAGCTTACCGCCCTTGACCCACTCACCCTGAAGCTAACTAGCTTCCATAACTGTATGGTATGAAGTCAGGAAGCTTCAATTTTCCTACTTGACCATCACCTCTTTACTACCCCACTTGCCTGCACCACGTTGTATGGATACGATGGCCGACATAAATGACGCATCTCCTTCAGAGAGTGAGATCGACATCGACCTTTCCCATGATCTCGACACAGGAAACATAGGGAGCATTGACAAAGAAGACCTGGATGGCCTTTCAAACAACGATAGCATTACTCTAAGAACCTCACCGACGCCATTTGAAGAGGACTTTCCTGACATACCCGATACTCAGGTCAGTGTTTTTCCATCAGCCATGTCATTCAAATGTGCTTATTTCACCAGATCGCATACGCTCTACGCAAAAGAACCGAAAAGAACAGGTCATATACTTTCTTGGACCAGGATACGTCAGGGAACTTTGATCCGTTCAAGGAAAAGCGTACCCCTAAGAAGAATAAGACTTACGCTGTGAAATTTCCTAAAAAGGTTCCCGTGAAGGCGCAAGGTAGCAAGGCGCAAGGTAGCAAGGCGAGCAAAGCGGACAAGACAAGCAAGCTGGACAAGGCGAGCAAGACGAGCAAGACGCATAATGCCCGTAATGCTCCCAAATTCACTGCCACCCGCAAAACCACCAAAGGCAAGAATAAAGTAAAGTCTAAGACCTCACCATCTATAGGGCAAGAGCAAGGCAAAGCCGAGAAACCGCCCCGTATTGTTGAGCCCCGCTTCAGCAACTACCTTACTCCGGAAGCTTTGTGGATACAACCAGTAGTGTCGCGCTCTCCAAGCCCAGACATTCTCGAAGACACGGCTGGAAACAGGGGCCAAGTCATTCAGATGAAGACTAGTTTCACACATCCAATTCAATTCGGTGTCGGTGTTGGAGACGTTGATACCTTGGACTGTAGCTTCTGCAATATGGCCGAATTTAGCTTTGTTGGCTATTTTGAGCAAGAGGTGTACTGCATACGCTGGGAGGACGGGTGTGGATATACACATATAGGTGGCGGTCAGACTGAGAACGGTCAAACCAGCATGTGCCGGTCATGCGCAATAGGTACGTATTACTTCCGGTCACTTTCGATCTTTGCTAATTGTAACACCATGTAGACCGGTTACAGATCATATCGTGCGACAATCATAACATTCAACGCATATACCCAGACACTGTTACCGTGGAATTTGCACAGACTCTCGATGATTTGCTTACAGAGGAAGACCCCGCTACAACTAAAAAGCAGTTACTACGATGGTGCTCTATGTGCTTTTCACCTGCAGTATTCGCCTGTTGTAAGCGTCAGTCATCACTGGTTTCCGAAGATGATGAGATTGACGGTTGTGGCCTGAGACTCTGCGCGGCCTGTGAGATAAGGCTCAGAGAAACATTTGAGGGGGATATAAGTGCTATGGCTACTACGCTGGATGGTGAGGACAAAGCTAAAGAAGACGACGAGGATCTGCATGGGAAGGTCAGAGCGGATGTTGGGTTCCTGAACGCAGATGGAATCTTGATGAATAATCTGGCAATCGCAACCGAGGACGAGGGTGAATAATTCTCATCAAAGCTACAGTATTATCAGGAAGTCAACATAGCATTCAATATACAAAGATCCCTAGTTTCAATAGGCGTAAATCTCCAATCAGGGAACTAGGTTGACCCCTTACTAAATCACATGAGTATCACTACTCCTAGATTCCATTCAAGGAAATCTCTGTCTCTACTTCCCCGCCTTCATCCCCAATCAATGCGCAAATCGGAACTCCAACCTCCTGTTCCCTTTATCCGTTGTAGTTTGCAAATACGTCTCCTTCTCTTCCTTTGTCATACCATCCCACACGCGAGCTCTTCTCCTATTGACAACAACATAATACTGTTTCGCCGCCACAAATAGCACCAAATTATAAACACAAATCGCAATCAGAATCTTATTTCCCCTGCGATACAATGGTTTATCATCCTGGCGGTATACGTTCTGTGACACGATTGTGCTGGCTTGGAACGTCATATTGTACAGCGCCGAAGCGACCGTTCGTGTGCGCACTGTGCCGGCGTTGCGCGATGTGATAGCCATGAAGATAGGGTGAATGAAAGGGATCCCAACAAGCAGGGTACATAGGGCCCAACGCGACCAATGCGATGCATCTGCTGGCAAGACCTCAAGAGCGATGAGAAGCGGCAAGCACCAGACTTGCGACACGAGAGCGACAAGGAAACGCTGGTTGGTGCGTTCAGACACCCATGTCCAGAAAATCATCTGGATGATTATAATAACGAATGCTGGGATCTAGCTATTTGTCAGTGATTGTCGAAAATGATGGACGAGATGTCAATTCACCGTCAGCAGATTCGTCTCAAAAGTGTTAAACCCCAGCGACCGAAGCTGAAGCGTAATATACGCATTCGAAGGCTGACTTGGAATAAACCACGACATGCCAATCAAATAGATAGGCAACATATGGTAATCCTTCATGCACTCCCACAACATCACTATGCTCAATCCCTGACGATTGTGCATATCCCCCTTACTCGGATCATCCCTCAAAATCCTATTCACCATAATCTTCTCCTCACTCTCACTAAACCAGCCCTCCTTTCCGCGAAACGGGTTCCAGAACTTCGTCGCCGTCTGCGTCGGACTCGCAGGAAGATAGAACCACGACGCTATACCGATGCAACCCGTGATGAGGCCTTCGATAGCGAAGAGGTATCGCCACCCTTCCATCCCGTTGTAGCCTCTTAGACGCAAAATGCCGAATGCGAGAAACGCAGCGAGGATGTTCGTCGCAAAGGGGACTGCGCTGTACACGCTCATGCGACCCGGTAATTCGAGCCCCGTGTAAAAGTAACTCATATAGAGAATACTGTCGGGGATGAAGCCACCTTCTATCGCTCCAAGAATTCCTCTACACGCATAAAATGATTTCTTCCCACTCAGAAACGCCTGCAGGCTCCCCACCAAACTCCACAGTATAATCTGAATCGGGATCCAATTATCGGGCCCAAGTTTCTTGCTAATGAGTTGCGACGGCAATTCAGCGAATAAAAAGCAGAGGTAGAAAATCGTTTGACCGTAGTTGTAGTCGTTGGTGTTGAGGCCTAGGTCGCCGAGCATGTTATCGCTGAGGGCTTGCGATATGTTGCCGCGGTCGAGCTGGAGGGCGAAAAACATGAGGCAGACCCAGGAGCAGATGCGTATGTCGATCTAAAAGGTGGTAATGTGAGATTTTGGGTTGATGTGGGCGAGTGAGTGGACGAGCTACCTTTCGTACGATGCGCTTTTCCTCTGCGGGCTCCCATTCAAAATCTGGATCATATCGATGAATGCCCTCATATGTCGTGATGGGTTTGTAGTGGTCTCTCGCAAGGCCTTCTGACACAAATGCTGAGCTATGCTTTTCTTTTCCGTGTTCTTTGTGAGTTTCCGTTTCCTTGTTGCTAATGCCTGCCGCCATGGTAGAGTTGGCCTTGTCGCCCGCAATCAAGCTATCCAGCGGCTTTAAATTTGCCATTTTCCAACAAAACCCTCCGTATCAGGAACTCAGGCGAAAAAGAGGAATGTATTTTACGCGATTTCATTGTGGGCAACGCTTCATAAACACAAGGCGATTGCAGCTTGCCAGGAAGACCGTGGTTTACAGCCCCATTTCCGCCCTTCGGTCCGAAACTTTGTTCTCGAAAGACCCTGTTGGAACATGCTTAAAGTTTGGGCAGACAGCGAATACAAACATGATGAATGACTGCCGATACAGGTTTTTCAATCGTAGGGCGTTGTCACTCATTTATCTCCCGTTATCATGTTTCGGATGAGACCACGCTAATAACAGAGGTGGTTATCACGTGCCGTTCGAGCACGCAAGGCTTCTACCAAATGTCGCGTCCTCGTACAATGGACAAGGGTCTTGTTATTCCAACCAATCGATTCAGGTTTAGTAGTGTCGGAATCTACGTCATTGGTTACATTACAAGCAGCACATCAAACAACATCCCCTCATGGCTAGCCGGGATGGCGCAGTCGGAGCATTTACTGACGCCTGCATACAGATGCCGGTCCAATGTCGAGACGAGGGGTCTTACATGCTGCGAAGCAAGTAACTGTTGGGAAGATTTTTGCCTATCTTGTCTAGCTTACATCTGGACACAAGGATGAGGCCATACACTCCATTTCTGATGCCATGCAACCGCATCCTGATTGAATAGATACGCGACGATCAAGTTCTCTTGTGGTATCTGTAGCGGGGTCCTTATCAGGCTTCATCCTTCGGCAGCTGGGCGATTTTGCCATCGCAGCTGGATAACTGAAGCCGCGGGTATGCTTAGTTCAATCGAGAAAGATATATAAGAACTTAGTTTAGATGGCATAGTCCAGCCTTGTAAGATTCTCAACAGTGATTTCCTACTAGGGTATTTTCTGTTATTTCCGAAAGAACATCATGGCTCCAGCTGTAATTGAAACCCCGCCAACAGAGTACAAGTCTGGTGTTGGAGCATACAAGGAGTTTGGCCTAGGAGGTCCCAAGTTCTTTCAAAAGGACCTTGAGCTAAAGGGCACTGAAAAGCACTCGCCTGCTAAATACCCTCACTACCTGCCTGTCTGGGACAACGAGAAGGGACAAAAGTATGTACCTACACAACCTCACAACTTATTCCCGATACTGACTTCTCACCCAGACTACCCCCCTGGGAGCCCTTCACCCACGTCGAGCACGGCAAAGACGCCGACCCAACCTTCCCCAACCTCCTCAAGAATGCCACCGTCCATGACATAACTGCCAACACCGGCGCTGAAGTCCACGGCGTCCAACTGAGCCAGCTCACCAACGCCCAAAAAGACGAACTCGCCCTCTTCGTCGCCAAAAAGAAGGTCGTCGCCTTCCGTGACCAAGACTTTGCTGACATCCCCATCAAAGACGCCCTCGAAATCGGCGGCTACTTCGGCCGCCACCACATCCACCCTACCTCAGGAGCCCCAGAAGGCTACCCAGAAGTCCACCTGGTGCACCGCGGCACAGACGACACTTCCGTCCGCGACTTCTTCGAAGAGCGCACAAACTCCGTCGCCTGGCACTCCGACGTAACCTACGAGAAGCAGCCCCCTGGCACAACCTTCCTGTACATTCTCGATGGCCCAGAGGCAGGCGGCGACACGCTCTTTGCCAACCAAGCCGCCGCGTACCAACGATTGAGTCCAGAATTTAGAAAGAGGTTGCACGGACTCAAAGTTGTGCACTCCGGTAAGTAACTTACCAACCACCCAAAACACACATACATACATACAACAAGATAAAGGGGAAAAGCAAAGGTAAACTAACACACACAAACACAGCCGTCGAACAAGCCGAAAGCAGCAAACTCCGAGGCGGCATCGTCCGCCGCGACCCCGTAACCTCGATCCACCCACTCGTCCGCACGCACCCTGCCACGGGCGAAAAAGCACTCTTCGTAAACCCCCAGTTCAGCAGGCGCATTGTCGGCTTCAAAAAGGAGGAAAGCGAGTACCTGCTCAACTTCCTCTATGATCACATTGCTAAAGGACAGGACTTCCAGGTTCGGGTCAAGTGGGCGCCGGGCACGGTCGTGGTGTGGGATAACCGTGTGACTGCGCATTCGGCGCTGTTGGATTGGGATGATGGGGCGCGCAGGCATGTTGCGAGGATTACGCCGCAGGCTGAACCTCCGTACGAGACGCCATTTGAGGAAGAGGGTGCTGCGACGTTTGAGTACTGATGATGACATCTTTTCTTTTATGTTCAGCACTAGATTGTGAGATTGCTGGACGTGTGCATGTAGCCAAAAAAGATGACGATTGGATATGTCATGATTCAAGGCCAAGAAGTTAAAGTTAGGTTGAAGAAAAAGCCACTTAAACTATCTATTTACTACCAAACTATGGTATCAAAAACAAGAGATGAGACGAAACTCTCTTTCAGCCCAACCAGAGTTAGTTCGACGTCAGAAAGACCGGGCCTGCACTCCCAATCTTCTATTCGTCGGACCCTTCTTTCAGGCAATCATCATTCGCTTCTTATCAGCGCGGACCCCTTCAATTTCTCTACTCATACAGAAGTGAAATTATGCTGATCGACCTTCTCTTACCAATGTTCATGCGCCTTCCTTGGCACTACCCTAGGTATATCCCATACACACCTTGCTACGCCTGCAATGCAACCCGTTGTAACAATGTATTCGAAAAGTACTGTTGTGAATGAACTGCTGTTTGGAGAACATGCAATCTGCTCGTCTAGGCGAAACCAAAGTATTCACCACCAGCAGTCATGGCGGTGTAAAGGGCTTTCCTAAGATCCTCATATGTCTCATACTCGGGTAAATCCAGCTCTGTAAAGTAGTTAGTATGCATCCAGTAAGGGTTCTAGCAATCGACTTACGATTGAAGCAAGTATGACTAGATGGTAGACGATCTTTGCTGCCATAGTCACGATGGATGTTGAACTTGGAGAAGCCATTCATGCCCTCAAGTTCCTTAAATCCATTCAAGGGCACCTTGCTCGTACCAGTGACGAATTGAAGCAACTTGGCTTGCTCTTCTTTCTCGAATGTTCGGACTGCCCGCCAGAACCATTGAATTTGCGGCGATGCAGCAGTGTAGTTGTGGTACTCGGTATTGTTCTTCCAGTCATCGACATTGATATCAGGAAGACCAGAGATGAGAAGTTCGAGTTCCTGTTCGCTGAAGATTGAGACAAGCTCTGCAGGGACAATATCATGGAAGCCCTTCAAGAAGTGATCCAGTTGTTCTTGAACGGCACCGAGGAGGCGATGTTCAGTGATAAGGCGAACATATTCGTGCTTGTTGTCCTCGGTCACTGGAATGTTGCGGCCATTCTCGATGAGGTCGACTGTTTGCATTTCGCCAAAAGCTTCGACTTCCACTGAGAAAGTTTCCGTGATGATGTCCGTAATCTCGTTGTGGATCATCCATTCAAGGGACTTGTAGTACTCAAGGTCAAGCGTCTCCATGTCCTTGAGGCTGACTTGCTTGCCCATGATCTGCTTGTAGACAGCTCGACTGAAATGGCAGTCCAGGACACGGCCTTCATAAAGCGCCTTGCCGATGATACGACCAATAAACTTGAAGAACATCAAATGCTCAGGGTTGATGGAGCTCAATCGGTTCGGGTGGAAAGTCGTGCGATCAGATGCGACAGGTACAAAGAGAGCGTAATCAGGGTTGAACATCTGGCGAGAGATTGACTGGAACCACTCGCGAGTAACGCCACCAGCGTCGACACCTTCTTCACCGTGGAAGCGAATGCTGAGCTTACCATACTTCATCTCATCTGCTGACTTGAAGTAGAGCGACTTGAAAGAGTCCAAGAAGACTTGGTCTCGACGAACAGAGAGTTGCAATGGCGGATGTGCTTGTCGATCGCCACCACGTGAGTGGAGTTTCCGGTTAAAGTAGTTGCGCTTATTGTCGAATTCTAGAACCTTGGAGTTCTTCACCAGTAAGGAGAAAGTGCCGCTCATCAGCTTAGGATTTTGGCGGACAAGATCATTCAATATCTTGCGATGTTCCTCTGTAAAGTTGAAGAACAGGTTCTCCATCTTGTTCTCAGGCGGCGGGCTGGACAGCGCAAACTCCTTAGCAAGCATCTTAGACAATGGAGCCTCCTTCAGCGTAGTGTTTTTGCATACAACCATAAGAGATTCGATGAGGGGGAGGAGAGTTGTGGCAATGTTGAGCATGTTACCGCGTTGACGGATGACAGTAAGACACTCGCTGAGCTTCTCCCAGAGAGGCGCAAATGCAGCATCCTCGTATAGCGTCAAGAGGATGTCTTCCTTTTGAGCTGGTTCTAGCGCCTCTGCGGCAGCTTCAGGTTTGTCTTTGCTGTCGCGGGAAGGATCGAAGAGGTAATCAAGTGCGGTCAAGGCTCTAAGCAGCTTCGTTTGGTCGGAGCTTGCAGGAGAGAACTTTGCGAGAGCGATGCCTTGGACATCAGTAGACGAGCTGGCCTTTGAAATCTGGACTGTCAGGCTGTCAAGATCTCGGAGCGTTGAGCTAGCCAGATCTTTTGCGATACCAAGTAGCTCTTGACCAAATATTTCCTTTGCCCCCGGAATGGGCGAGAGGTTGCTGATGACTGACAAGGTCTCCTGGAATACCTTACTATTGCATTCTCGAGCCGCGAGGATCTTGGCTACGAGTCGAAGGTTGGCTTCTGGCACATCCGGTGGTGTCAATGACCTATGCTTCTTAGTCTTGTCATCTTCAGCCTTCGATCCGTCAGGTTTGGAAGTGCCCTCCTCAGTAGCGCCAGAGTCGGGTGCAGCTGTCATCTCAGTATCTTGGCCTTGAGCAGCACTTGTAGATATAGCTTCGATGGACTGGTTCTCGGCGTTTTGGCCTTCTGCAGAACTCTCACTAGCTTTCTTCGCTTCTTCAGCAGCCTTCTCTTTCTCCTTCTTCAGGGCTTGCAACGGGGCCGTGATG